CCACGACGTGGCCTTCGCTGAGGCAGCCCTGAAGGCTTTCTGTTGCGAGGTGGACGAGGCGGTGGTGAGTGCTTCGTAGGGGTCTACAGTGTTCTAAGGTTTCGAGTTTGGGTGTCCAACACATGCTGCACCATGCGGCCCTGGTGAGCGAGCTTGCTGAGCAGTTTGTGGAGGTATGAACATGCAATGTTTGCACTATGGTGTTGTGTGGCTAAGCAGCTGGCCAGGAACCCCGCCACCTCAAGCGGGTACCGTATTTTGTTTTGTCAATTTTTCTGGTTTTTTTCTGTCTATTTGTCTGGTTTTAGGTTGAACGCAAACGAAAGAAAGAAGGAGAGAAACGGAAGCCGGAAAGAAAGAAAGGAGCAAAGAAACAAACAAAGAAAGCAAGAAAGGAAGACACCAGGAAGAGGAGAAATAAAGAAAGGAAGAAGGACAGAAAGACGGGAAGGAAGGAAAGAAGGACGACAGAAAGAAAGAAAGAACGAAGACCGGAACAAAGGAAGAAAGCAACACACCAGAATGGGGAGAAAAAAAGAAAGGAAGGAAGGACAGAAGGACAGACAGAAGCAAGGAAATAAGAACGCAGGAAGACAGAGAGACAGAACAGAAGAAATGAATATCGAAAGACAGAAAGCCAGCAAGGACGACCAGAAGGAGTGTTAGAAAGAACGGAGCAAAGAAAAAACCCAAGAACGAAAGCAGGATAATTAGACAGCAAGAAGCAAAGACCAGAGACCCCGCTGTTTTGAGCTGTGTGCAAGCTCGCTTGACAGCATAGACGTCATTTTTGAAACCCACCCTGCATAAAATATAAGTCTTTTTGCAACAATGCCATTCACCATGCAAAGAGTCTCTTTGCAAATGGAAAGCCTGCCCCGGGCGTGCGAGAGTGCCGAGCTTGCTTGACAGCATATATGCGTTTTGATGACAACCCCACCATGCGAGCATCCTCATGAGCTGCCCCCCTTAAACCGCCCCGCCGCATAGATTTTGTTGTAAACCAGACATGCGAGCATCGTGATTGCAAATGGCGGGGGGCTGCGCCCCGCCCAACCCCCCCGCTGTGTAAGCCGTGTGCCAGGTTGCATGACAGCAACCAACCACGCGAGCATCATGCTTGCAAATCGGGGGGCGCTGCCCCCCCCCAACCCCCCCACTGCTTTAAACCATGTGCAAGCTTGCGTGACCGCAGCTTTGCTTGAGAGCATATATTTTTGTTCAAAACCAACCATGCGAGCATCTTGATTGCCGCCCTTAAACCCCCCCGGCCGCATGTGATTTGTGGTAAACCAGCCATACGAGGATCGTGATTGCAACTGGAAGGGGTTGCGCCCCCCCCAACCCCCCCCGCTGCTATAAGCTGTGATTGCATGACAGCATAGGAGTTGTTTTTGAAGCCCGCGATGCCTAGGATATCCTAGGATGAATCTTTTAATTAGAAACAACACCCTTCACCTTGTGAAAAGTGTGCTTGCAATTGGGAAGCATGCGCCGGGCGTGCGAGAGTGGCATGCTTGCTTGACAGCACATGCGCGTTTTTTGACCAACCATGCGAGCATCATGCTTGCTAATGGGGGAGGCCGCGAGCCGGAATTCCCCAAGAGCTTGACGCAGGAACAAGCCCCGAACACTGGAATCTCCCAATAGCTTGACGCACAAGCAAATCCTGAACAAACTACACTCCCCCGACAGCTTGACGCACAAACAAACCCTGAAAACTAGAATCCCCCCAATAACTTGACGATACTTGACGCACAAACGAACCCATGTCCTGCCAAACCTTTCAAACATAAGCTGGCCGCCAACCTTTAAAGAAAAATATTCCACCCAGCAGCAACAACAACATGAACACCAAGAGCAGTAGCAACACCAGTAACAAATAACAGCAAAAGGCATGCAACCATAACGGAAGAGCAGCAACAACAACGACACCACCAGCAGCAAAATGCAACAACAGCACCAATACCAGCACCAGCACCAACACCAACACCACCACCAACAACCACAACAACAACTACTACTACTATTACTACTACTATTACTACTACTATTACTACTACTACTACTACTACTACTACTACTACCACTACCACTACCACTACCGCTACCACTATTACTATTACTATTACTAATACTATTACTATTACTTTTACTTTTACTTTTACTATTACTAATTACTAATTACTAATTACTAATTACTAATTACTGCTATTTTTATTGCATTACTATTACTATTACTATTACTATTACTATTACTATTACTATTACTATTACTATTACTATTACTATTACTATTACTATTACTATTACTATTACTATTACTATTACTATTACTATTACTACTACTATTGCTATTGCTATTGCTATTACTATTACTATTACTATTACTATTACTATTACTATTACTATTACTATGACGACTAACTATTACTATTACTATTACTATTATTACTATTATTACTATTACTATTACTATTACTATTACTATTACTATTACTATTACTATTACTATTACTATTACTATTACTATTACTACTATTACTATTACTATTACTATTACTATTACTATTACTATTACTATTACTATTACTATTACTATTACTATTACTATTACTATTACTATTACTATTACTATTACTATTACTATTACTATTACTATACTACTATTACTATTACTATTACTATTACTATTACTATTACTATTACTATTACTATTACTATTACTATTACTATTACTATTACTATACTACTATACTACTATTACTATTACTATTACTATTACTATTACTATTACTATTACTATTACTATTACTATTACTATTACTATTACTATTACTATTACTATTACTATTACTATTACTATTACTACTATTACTATTACTATTACTATTACTATTACTATTACTATTACTATTACTATTACTATTACTACTACTACTATTACTATTACTATTACTATTACTATTACTATTACTACTATTACTATTACTATTACTATTACTATTACTATTACTATTACTATTACTATTACTATTACTATTACTATTACTATTACTATTACTATTACTATTACTACTATTACTATTATTACTATTACTATTACTATTACTATTACTATTACTATTACTATTACTATTACTATTACTATTACTATTACTATTACTATTACTACTACTATTACTATTACTATTACTATTACTATTACTATTACTACTACTGCTGCTACTACGACTATTACAACTACTACAACTACTACAACTACCACTACCACGACTACTACAACTACAACTACAACGACAACAACAGCATCAACAACATCATCAGCACCATCATCAGCACCAGCAGTAACAACAACAACAACACCACGAAATCCGTACAAAATGCGAAAATGTACGCACAAGCCGATTTTCCCGAGGAATCTTCAAGGCAACGTATGTTTTCCTGCTGAAAACCCAAGGAAACGACACGGAAGCCGTAGGAAAACAGTGTTTTCCCTACGAAAAACCATGGAAAACCTGAGGAAATCACACGGGATCCGTCGGAAAATAGCGTTTTCCCGAGGAAAAGCTAAGCAAAACCCAAGGAAATAACAGAGAATCCGTAGGAAGATAGTGTTTTACGAAGAGAACGGACCAACAAAAAATACCACCCCCCCCCCCCCGCAAAAAAACAAAGACCAGAAAAACACAAAAAACATCCTCCAGGTCGTTGATCTTTCAGCATTAGGGCAAAGGTGCAGGAATCAGTGCGGATTAAGGTTCAGCAGACATGGGCCATACAATGTATTTCTACAGTCCCAGGCGCCTCTCCACCCAGACCACAACCGCAGAGTCTTAGAGTTTCAATCCAGAAGCTTCGCGGATGCTATAAGCGCGCGGGGCAAAAAAAACGTGTGAGAGACACACGGCAGCATTGTGGCAGGAGCTTCTGACAGTCCAGCAGCTGCCGCGAGACGAGCGAAGAAGTTTGGGAAGCTTTGAAACCGAAAAATCCACAAAAATCCAGACAACATACGCAAGGAAGAATTCCAGTCAGAGGTGGAGAACGGTCACGGCCACCAGGCTAGATTCTGAAAACCAAGGAAAGCAAAACTAAAACCAGGAAAATATACAAAAAAAACCAGAAAATTACACAAAAAATAACTCCAGTCAGAGGTGGAGAACAGTCACGGCCACCAGGCTAGATTCCAAAAGCCAAGGAAAACAGAACTAAAACCAGGAAAATACACAAAAAAAATCAGAAAAATAGACAAAATAAATACTCACTCCCCTATTTCTCAGCTCGGGATTCTTGATTGGTTTGGCAGCCCCAAACCCTCAACAACTTGAAGTACTTGAAGGTTCATGGGTGATTATAAGTAAGAAACTCAGTAGGGTAACTATAGTTATATCCCATAGTAGGGGACGCATAGCCCCACTTCTAACTACCTATGAAACTCCAAGATAGCCCAGGTCGTGGCTGCTGCTGGAACGCGCCGCAAGAAATGCCTGGGCGACATGCGTGGGAAATAATGGGTGAAGCAACAGCCTGTCGTTGGCCGGATGCTTTCTTGTCAACTGGTTCAGGCCAGCATGTTTTGCATTGATTAGTCTGCAGCTTTCAAAGCTTCGCATTCCTTCCCGTGCTGGAAACCAGAAACATGGAAGCTCCAGCCGGCCCCACGTTGGAGAAGCAGCCGCGAGGTGATGTTGAAGCCAGACAGGGCACCCAGAACTCGAGTTTTCAGTTTTGAGCACCTTTACTATTGACCCTGAACGACTCTAACCCTGAACCTTTTGTAATCCCAGACCCTGAAGTCCTGAAGCATCCTGCGCAGCTGCCCAAAGCATGGCGGCTCGTGAAGCTCGGCGGCAGCGTTTCCGGTCTGGGGTGCTTCAGGGTGCAGGGTTTGGGACGGTAGAAAACAACACGACCTATCCCGGTCTGGGTGCTACGACCGCCGTGACCCAAGTAATCAAGCTCTCTTTTTGTCTTTGAGATGTTTCGGCTTGCAGGCGATGTCCCTTGCGCTGGCATTTCCAGGCCAGGTATGTGGTGTCGTCTGAAGCTCCAGTGCCCGTGTGCCGTGTGCTAGCTGCATGCCCCCTCTGCAGGCGTGGCGTCCAGGGCAAACGTGAGCCTCGCGCCTCGCCGTCTACAGGACCGGCTCGCCTAGTGCCTGCGTTTCTGCGCTGTCGTGACTTGGAAGGATACATACACCTTCCTGACATCGCAGCTGAACTGCCAGATGTGCTGCGAGGCACTCGCTGACTTCGTTGCTCTTGGTTTGGGAAACTGCACCTCACACGCAGGAGGAGTGGCGGTCGTGCCTTTGCATGCTGAGTTGCGACATTTTCCAGGCGTCCCGCAGCGGTTCCGTGCTTGTGATATTAGTAGATTCCATGGCCTGTCGCTGGAGAACTCAAAAGCATCCTCCAACCTCTCGGCTCTTGCGCTTGGGGAGAAGCTCGGTCAAAGAGCTCTGCTTCCTTCTGTGAACACGGCGAGTTCTCTTCACGCTTTTCTCTCGAACAGCTTGCCGGAGCCCATGCTATGCGAGATTGCATGCAGGGCGAATGCGATGGTGTCGAGGAAGTGGAGACGTGCAACGTCGTGCGTGCGTGCTACAGGAGGCTGGAGGGAGACTTTGCAGGAACTTCGCGTCACCGGAGCTTCGGCTTTGAGAACTCGGGAGGGACAGCCTCATAGGAGGGGCGCCGTAATGCATTAAACTTACACTCCAAGCACCAGAGCTGTCAGGAATCATTACAGTCTCGTGTTGCTCTACATCTTGCATGGACATCGAACCCTTGCGCAGGATCGACGATGCTTCCCCAAGAGGCTTCGACTTCGAGTGGCAGTGTCGTTTAATGAAGGCTGGCCCTCTTGTGTGGTGTCACTATGCACCGAAATGAAGGGTGCAAGTTGTTGCAGTTGAAGACAGATGCAGGGAGACGACTGGTGAGTTGTTGAATAACGCACAAGAGTGCAACGGGGGAATAGTGCAACATCATTTGCAGAAGCCTGATCGTGCACCGTGCTTTCTGGCCCTGCAGTGCATCTCCTACTGCCTGAGGCACTCGGAGGCTGGAGCCAGGTGTTAAGAAGTTCTTAGAGTGCGTGGGGTTACGGGTTCTCAGGATTCAAGGGTCATTGGGCAACATGCAACCTTCGTGGCTCTTGCTTTGCTGGCACTCGTGGCACGGGCTAGTCGCCTTGCAGATAACACTGGCGCATCGTTTTCTCGGGCAGGTTTGCGAGCCAATTCGGAACGAGTTCGTCGCGCATCCCTCAGCTCAGCCTCGTGCCTCTCCTTCGCACATTCCCAGGCATCGCAGCCCAGCTGAGGCGGACTGCAACCGAGGGCGTGAGGGCGAGCTTCAAGCTTGGCCGAAGCCCCGGCTGGAAAATTGGTGGTGAGAAGCCGGCCTGCTAAACGAACTCTGCGTCCAGATCGTCACAGCTTCTTATCAACCTCGTAGAAGTGTCAGCTGGCTGGTGGATGAAGTAGCTACACTGAGCATTCCAGGACACCCTTCGAAGGACACCTAAGCATCTACATGATAGGATGGCGTTGGACATTCCTGTGTTAGCATACCGATCTACTCTACTTGTGCACCGTTGATGCTGTGCAGTGATGTGGTGTGCTCACGGGTGCGGCCAAGAGCGTTACTGCCCGGGCCCCATCATGACCGTGCTCAGCAAATTCGGCAACGATTCGATTGGAGCTGAACTTCGTGCAGACCCGCAAGCGTCGCCTCTAGAAGGCCGTGGACGCTTGCCGCCTTTCTAGTGATCGCCTGCACCGACTTATCGCCGTGCCCTCACCTGGTGCCAGACACATGTGGGCGGTACGAACACCGGTACTCCCAAGCAGACGCCAAGGTGGAGCTGCGTGCCCGATGAGCCCGTGCGAAGACGCCACGGGACAAAGAGCCTTGATGCTGGGGAAGAAGAAACACCGACGTATTTTGCCGGAAGGGGCCACATTCAGGTCTGGTGTGAAACGCTTGGGACTTTTGGCCTTTTTCCTTCGTTGCTTCAGCTCCTGAGCTCTTGTGCGTACCGCTGCTCCTCTCCCAAAGACATGCAGGATGCTTCTTAGAAAGACTGAGACGCCTTCGAGACGTGAACAGCGGGATAGATCCACTGATCTTGACCCGGGGCTCGCCGGGGGCTTGTAACGGAGAGCTTCGCTTTGTCGTTTTGATTCTTCTTGGAGCCATGTCGGGAGCTCGCAGCAAGCGAGAGCAAGAAGATGGGGAAGGCTTCGAGGAAAGAGCTCAAGCATCTCACGGCCGTTCTCTCAGGCTCGCTGTGCACATTCAACATGAGCCCCACGTGTCTCAGTCGTGTCTTCCGCAGTTCCGCGTGGAGGCCTCGGGCGAAGCCTGAGATGGCCGGAGGCCCTGCGGCTCTTCCGGAGGAACCAGGATCGTGGCCGTGGGGACACCGACACTTGGTTCCATAAAGGGAGGGCCCGCCACTACCGACCAACACAACAGAAGAGATGACGAAGATGGCCTGGAGTCTAGAGTATTCGAGAAACATGAAAGAGCAAGCCGTTCAAAACAAAAACGAGAGTGTTGGAGACACAACAGGAAACCCCTCGAGGGACCAGCGTCTTTGAGGAACAAGGGCATACGGCTCGAAAAGTGTCAGAGTTTTCGAACCGAGAAACAGGAGCCAACCGCGCGAAAAGGACTAGAGCACCCGAGGAACAGAAGGCTCCAAAGGGACTACGCTCGAAAGGGACTAAGGTGTTTGAGAAACAGAAGAAAGCCGCTCGAAAGGTTCAGGGGTCAGAACAGGGCAGGGGCTGGAAAAATCAAGATTGGGGGTTTAGAAAGAATGATTGCTCCGTTCGCAAGGGACTAGAATACGTGAGAAACCGCAGAAAACCGCTCGAAAGGGACTAGAGTATTTGAGAAGCAGAAGGCAAGCGCTCGAAAGGGATTGGAATACTTGAGAAAGAACAGAAAACCGTGCGGAAGGGACTTTTTGTGAAAAGAGTATTTGAGAAACAGAGGGAAACTGCGAAAACCCGCCGAAAGGGAATCGAGTTTTTGAGAAACCACTCCAAAGGGATTAGACGACTTGAGAAACAGAAGCAAAGCGCTCCAAACGGACTAGAGTTTTTGAGAGAAGAAAAGCGGTTGAAAGGGGCTAGAGTATTTGAGAAGCAGAAGAAAACAGCTGCAAGGTATTTGAGAAACAGAGGAAAACCGCTCCAAAGGGATTAGAAGACTTGGGAAACAGAAGAAAAGCGCTCGAAAGGGACTAGAATACTTGAGAAGCAGAACAAAATCAATCCAAAGGGATTAGGATCCTTAGTTAGCGCTTCGGTGGTTGGCCAAGCGCTGCTTTAGGGGTCAGGGCATGCGGCTGAGGCCCTTTGCAACTCTGTCATTCGTGCACTCGGAGAAGGAGGCTGCTGGGAGCAGGCACGGCCTGCGGAAAGCTTTGGCTTGGCGGCATCATGGCTTTTGCCGTGGACAGGCACAGCAGGTCTTTGCAGAAATGCAGAGAGGCATTGCGCCTCCTCCCGACATCATCAGCATCACGAGCTTGATCACTGCTTGCGAAAAAGGCTCGGGCTTTCTTCAGTCTTCGGGTTGGATGTTGTTGTGAATTTGAGCGCTGACAGGTCGCAGATGGCAGCACGCAGTCCGTTTGGTGGCTCACGAGCTGAGCGGAGGTAGCGGAGGTCGGCCGGCAGTCGGCACTCTTGGGAATTTCAGTCTGACAGGAAGCTTCGCCGGCTCGAGCCTCTGCAGCGCTTTGGTCAGCGCCTGTGCGGCCTGCCATCAATGGGAACAGGTCCTGGAAGGCACGGAGACCTCCCACGGAGCAGCGAGTCAGACTCTCACCCTCGGTCCGAGAGGCCTTCGAGCGATGCGCGGCCGGGACTGGTTGCCATCTCCTGTAGCCATCTCCGCCGCGCTGGCCGCCTGCTCCCGCTCCTTGCACTGGCAGATGGCTTTGGATCTCCACGAGGCATACAAACTGGATGGAGGACAGCCCCCTGAGTGCTTAAACGCATTCTTTTACGTTCCATGTCTCGGCAGGACCGGCCAACGAGGCAGTGTACGGGGCTGCTGTTCACGCCGCCGGACTTGGCCACCAGTGGCAAGCTGCATTGCTTCTTCAGAGAGAGGCGCGCTGGGAAGGCTGTTGCAATGTGTCAGCTCTGAGCAGCTTTCGAGAGTCCGCCTCCACCAGATGATGTCTCTGTCCTGCCGGCCAAATCTCGTGGTCAAGAACTCGCTGCTCAGCTCGCTCGCAAAGCTCGGGCACTGGCAGCTGGCCATGTGCGTCTTTGGAGAGTTGGGCCCTTCCCAGCCGGATGTCAGGACCTCAGCCTCAGGACGATCTTAAGCGATCCATGAAGGCCTGTGCAAGCAACCTTTGCAGCAGACTCCCAGGTGATATCTTTCAACACGGCCATGTCCGCCTGTGAGAGAGGATGGATGTGGACGGCAGCGCTGCAGCTGTTTGCTCGCATGCGCAAGGAGTCGCCCTGGTCACTATAGTCAGCAAAACCTGAGCTTGACTCCGATTCCAGAATCCCAAGCAGTTCTCGGAGGACCGGGTAAAGATCACCAGCGTCAGTTGCAACGCGCTTCTCTCGGCGTTGGAGAAGGGCCAGCAGTGGTCGCAGGCGCAGGGCAGCCGATCACATCACTCCAGTTTTCAGACTTTCAGTGAACTGAGTGCTTCGTGCCAGGAGACTGGTTCGGGGACTGATAGCCAAGGGAGGGCCGCCAGTCCGCGAGTTTGTGCTGGCCCAGCCTTGACCCAGGCCATCAGCTTCTTAGACCGCATGCAGCGGCGGCGCCTACACAACCAGGTGCGAGCAGCAAAAGCAGGAAGCAGAAGTCACTTCAGCTGTGCTTCGCAGATGGAGTTCGGAACATTTGTCAAAGGATGCGAATGTGCGGCAGGTATCTTTCAACTGCGCGGCTTCAGCCTGTGAGAAGGCATTGCGATGGCGGACCGCGCTGCTTCTCCGAGGCCCCCGCCCGGATGCAGTGGCAGTGGCTGTGCCGCTCGGCCGCTGACGGAGAAGCATGAACAGCGGGTTGCAACGGGCTTTTAGCATTTTTCGGGTGGGTTGGGGGGGGCCGCGGGGGGGAGGGGGCTTTGCTTCCCGGCGCCTGATTGAATGTGCATGGATGAGCGTTCACACTGGGGTCTTGCCTCTCGGAACCGGGCCTGGCATCCAAGTTGCCAAGCCTGCTACAATGACAAAGCATCAACATGCATCAACCATCAACTGGTCGAGCGTCCACCATGCTGCTACAAAGCCTCAACCTTTTCCAAATCGACCCTGGTTTCAGGTTTCGGGGTTTGTGTTAAAGTCCAACTTCAAGCTTGGTTTTTGGCGGCGGCGTGACATAGGTTTTTGCACGTTTCTGATTTTGGACATACATGATGCGGCGAAGGAGCAGCAGCAGTGTTTCTTTGGGGTAGGGAGCCTGTACACTATTTCCATAGCCATTACGAGTACTACCACTATTGTACGACAATTACTGTTACTATTTCTGTTACTATTGGTGGTATACCCAGCGTTCCCTGTGTAGGTTTGGCCTTGGGCCTTAAGTATCGCTGGTTTCGGCTGGCAGTGGGCGTTGAAAGTCACGACTCGGTAGGTGGATCTCGGAGTTTGTCGGCCAGCGGGAAACTGTAAGCAACGTAAGAACAAGTGTCTTCCTCGAGATTCGCTGCCACAGGGTATTTAAAAAGAAGCAAGCCGTACCCAAAGCATTCGTATCCGCTAGGTTCCGTCGCCCACGATGATGGTGAGGATTTTGTGACACGTATTTCCCACACTGATGTGTAGTGCTCTCATAAATTTCCACACTCGGACTGAGTTGAGCTAAACCAGACCCTGGCAATGTGTTGTGAGAAATGTTGCAAGATCTGGACCCTGAAGTTCTGGCGCGACAAAAGGACCCTGAAGGCTTGGAGTTTGTGAGTGTCGCTAAATTGCGAGGTCCATCAGCGCCTGCGAGATTCTCGGTTGAATGCAGGCTGGCATCGTGTGGCATGCGATCAACATCCGAAACTGCCCTAGTGGCCCTAGTGCTTGAGCCATCACAACCTACAGACCACAGAAGCGCAACGAAAACCCCCCAACCCCAACCCCCTAAACCAGCATTTGTGGACTGCCTGCGTGTAGAACCTCCAACCCCCAAAGCAAGAATCCCAGAAACCGATGCCCATCTACAGTAGCAACCCTTCTAAACCCAACGCATCCCAACGCCTTACAAAGACACGATAAAGAACAGTGGAAACACCCCATAAGCATAGCCGTAGCGCAGACCTGTAAGAACCCTTCTAGGTTCCTTCCCTACATGACATAGAAGCCCTAAACCCTAAACCGTAGAACCCTCTTAGAGAAACCGAAGCCTCGCCGTCAGCCCTCCGAGGAAAGGCCTCGCCTGGAAGCAGGCGTTGGGTCTGCTGAACAATGCGAGGTCGCGTGGGGGCTTTGGGGCTTTTTGGGTTTGGGGCCTCTGGGGAGTTTGACGGTTTAGGGGTTTAGGAGTTTACGGGCCAATATGTAGAGTGCCTTGACTATTGCTCCGATTTCGGCCTGCGGTTGGCCTTCGGTACTCTCCACCCGGCTTGAGCATGGCTTGGGTGACAATGGCGGCTCTTTTTCGTGCATCTTTTCTCGTTTCAATCACCTCAACCTCTGGAGTCTTCGGCCTTGAGTAGGATCGATGGCACAGCAGACGTTGCCAGCTACATTGCCGCATTGGGCGCCGCAGAGAAGGCGGCTGGGGCAGCCTAGGCTTTTTTAGGGTTCGGGTTTTGGCCTGGGTGTTAAAATCAGGCGCTGAAGTGTTGCAGGAATTGCATGGTCCGCCTCAAACCTCCGGTCAAACGAAGAAGGTTGTTGCTGCACTCTCACATTTGCTTACATAGTATGTATGCGCACATTAACATGCATCTCATCATTCTATGTATACATACAGCACTGCATGTCCATGTACATATATGACCGTTACATATACCCATATAAAGGTTTCCAAATGGTCGGGTAGGCAAGTTGTGCATCCGTCTTATCGTCCGAGAGATCAGCGTGATCCGCTTCATCCGCGGCCATTTTGACTGAAGCGCGCGCCAGCTGGAACCACATCTGTGCATATGTATGTATGCATATAGCCTAGCATATGTGTAGATATCTATGTATATATATATATATATACAGAGATGTGTATATGTATACTTGTTTACAGGTGGCAATATATCTCTGTTTCTGTTCGTGAACCAGGAAATGCTGAGAGGCACCACGCCTGTTCGCAAAGCTTCTGTGCGAAGCAGGCTCAGAGGTGGCCTCATGCCCTTTGCGTGCTCCAACAGATGAGGCAGCGCGGGAGAGTGTCTGCAAGGGCATATCGGCAGCCGTCATATGCTGTAGTATCTAGCATGTGCGAACATGCATAACCATGTAGTTGCTCGGCACTTGTAGAATGGAAAATGAAGTTCCGAAGGCGGTTTACATATACAGCAACATGCAGAGCGATATACTACGCTATGCTATACTATACTATACTTAATAGTTTTCTACTCTACTCGACTATGAGGTTAGATAAGGAAAGGTAGGATAACATTATAGATAGTAGTAGAGAATGGATCAAGCAGTCTCGTGTTGTTTTCTGTAACATAATACCATGTAACATAAGAAAGGTTAGTATGACATAACGTGACATATTCGAATATTATACAGTATAATGTCACATCTTATGATACAGCATAACAGAACATAGCACAGTAGATTGTACTATAATGTACTATAACATAGTTTCAATTTAGATATACAGTAACATGTTCTGATACAAAATAATACAATGCAGTATCTTACATCAATGTACACAAATCAGGTTTCCGTACGTGTATATGTACTTATATATATATATATAAATGTGTATGTATATGTATGTGTTTATGTATATGTATACTTATATGTATATGTATATGCATATGGGGGGGTGAGAGTGAGAGTGAGAAGGATCACGAGAAAGAGAGAGCAGCAACGCTTTTTGGAGTGAACGCTATCTATTTACCTATCCATCCACCCATCTACCCATAAATCTGCCTGTATATCTGTTCATATATATGTAAAGAGAGATAGCTCACGCAAGCAAGAGATAGATAGAGAGAGAGAGAGAGAGAGAGAGAGAGAGAGAGAGAGAGAGAGAGAGGCAGATAGAGTTTTTTGGGCAACGGTGCAAAGGGTCAGCGCATAGCAGCTCTGAATGAAATCTGTGTTGAGCACCACTAGCTCGGGGTGGACTCTGAACCGAGCGATAGGCCTGGATCCGGCAGATCGCTCGCCAGTAGCCCCGTCAGACCTGCCAACCATGATCATCTTCTCGGAGCCGGTCCACAATCCTGTGCCCTTGCCGGCCAACCCAACGCCTGCTCTACAGAACGCAGTGACGTTAACGACAGAGACACCACAACACCGGTCGTTGATGATTCGTGAAACAACGGAGGTTGTGACTTTCACTGGGTTCGATGTCTTGACGCTAGCGACGGACGCGAATCAGCAAGCACCCATCATCTGGCGTCCGGTGGCGTATGAAAGCACGGCAGCAGCGCCACCGATGTTTGGCAATCATGCGCCGCCGGCAGGCTACGGCGTGGTTGCAGATGCTGCTCTGCGGGCGGCCATGAATCTCGGGCCAGTGCCACCAGGGTACGCCAACCCTGACGTGTCCGCGTGCTGGCAGGAGGTGCTCGACCGGAATGCGTTGTTTGTGAACTTCTCCGGGCTGAGCCTGCTTCTGGCGGACCTGGACAGCCCAGTGTTCACGCAGGGGTTTGCGGACG